GTCATCAGGAATTGTTAAACATTACAGTTGGTAGACCAGGCTCTAATTTAGTACTTCCCGGAACCACATGCAAGTTGTATTTTTTGTTTTACAACGATGACGATCGGAACATTGCAACAATAAACATAACTTTAAATTCTGTAAATATCACAAATTAGAATTTTTCAGTTCAGTTTCTAGCAAAGTCCTTCAATTTTTGATTAGAATTTAAATTTACGGAAAATTTTTCTTTTGCAAATATTTATTTAAAATTCCTTCTGCTAGTTTTTAGGCATCTGTCGAAATATAAATTTTTGACAACAATAATACGAAAGGTTTTCTGTAATTTTATTCAACATACAGCAATTACTTTTTGTGTTTAAATATTTTTAATAAATATATTTTTTTAATAACATTTAATGGGACAATAAAAAATTTAGTTGCAAAAATGTAAAGTCATGATGAAAGTTCTCAAAGTGTTAATTTCCTAAGGAATTCTTGGAGCTTTCGATACTTTCCATTTCTCAAATGGTCCTACACTTCAGTAACATGTTCAAAGTTTTCTTTCCTCTTAATTATTAGAAACACTTTGAAGCAATTAGATTTAAGTTTCTAAAACTACATATTCAATAATTATGAAAGTAATTATTGACCATTTAAAACTAAAAAACCGAAAGATTGATATTGTCAGTTGGGATTTGTAGTTCACCAGGATTTATTGAGATGGAAATTTCTGAAGCTTTGAAATTGTTCCTACTTCTTGGATCATTCTGTATTGTCCAATTTTCTTATGCTAAACGAATTACTTCCTTCACATCAATAACATGCTCCAGTTCAAATAAAACTTTCTTAATATCGGAATGTTCTGTTAAACCAGTAGCAAAATAACAATTTGGATGACATCGACTTGTGTAAGTTTTTTAACGGAACTAATGTCGCCATTATGAAATTTGCATTGGGCGTTTTGAACGATTTTCCAAAAAAATCGCTTGGCCCATGTCCAAAAGAAGTAATTAGAATTTTTGCAATGAGAGGTCATGAACTACTTTTACTTTCTTGATATTTTTCAGGGTCATCATGAATTCTTGAACCTTGCAGTTCGTCAAATGAAAACTAAGACAATGTCTCCAACAGCATTTTACAGTCTTTTCATAAAGTTGTACAATGAAATGGATGAAAATATTATTTCTATCAAATTTGCCATTAAAGCTTCCAGTGTACAAGATTAAAGCTCGACCGATTTTACAGACAATAATTTTCAAAAGAATTATAAAAATTGTCACTGATTTGGATTCTTCAATTACATTTATCCGCAGCCATTGAAAATTTAAATATTTTAAAAATTTAGCAACAATTTATGTTTCAAAGTTCGCCGAAATATTTATTTTAAATTCCATAATTAATTTGGTGAATGATTTTTAGGCTGTTTATTGAACCATTTTCAATGCTTTTTCAATGGAGAAAACCTTAAATAAAGTTTTATCATCACTGGCAACGATTTTAAAATGTTATGTATTAAAGAAAAGATATTCGAAATTATCTATTTATTTTCGTTTGTACTTCCGACTGAAGTTGATAAAAGTGTTTAAATATCTCTGTTGTTATTAATAATTGACAATTATTTGTTGCAATTTTTGTTACCCTTAACCCATACTAAGCAATGAGTGTTAAAAATTTTATTTTGCATTCTTCATTTACCTTTACTCAATTTAAGATGAAACTTTCGACTGTGTTCATAATTTTTGGAGTTTTCATTATTTTTCAATTTTCTGATGCAAAACGAGTCCTTAGCTATACATCCATAGCTTGTTCAGGATCGAATAAAACTGTTGTGATATCAGAATGTTACATTAAAGCAGTTTCGAAAAGACAATCTGGCTTGAACATTGTTTTGGATTTTATCAAGAAAGTCGATTCACTGATCGTGGGTAATTCTTATTTGTTGTTACATTTGAATAATTTTTTCTTTATTTCCCAGGTTTCCTATGATTTCGGTGTTAAATTTGGAAAAGTTTACCGATCTCTTGCAAAAGATGATATCGACATATGCAAGTTTTTGAGTGGAACACAAACAAGCGTCATGAAATTTGTCATGAATTTAATCAAACGAACTTTACCGAAAAATCTTCTTGAACCATGTCCAAAATTTGTAACCGAATTTAATGAAGATTTCTTCAAGCTTATATAATTAAATCTTAACTTATTTTCAGGGATGTTATAAATTATTTAACGTCACAGCTGACCTACCAAGTTTTAGAAGAGCAGCTTTTCCAAATGTATCTCATAGTGTCTTTATGCATTTCCATAATTCGGATGATAAAAATATTTCGTCAATTCAATTATATGCTGAGGGTATAAATTATTACTGATTAAATTTTGGTTGCAATTCTTTCTACATTATTATCATTATTATATTATAAAACACGAGTGTCTGATTTTATTCAAATAGAAATCTAAAAAGCTTTATAATGCTTTGATAATTTTTTTTTCTGAAGCTTTCAATGTTGAGAAATAAAATTTTTCCTAAAATAAAAAAATCATTGGAATCATTACGAGTAATTAATTGGAATGAAGAATATTTGATACTTTCAAGGTCGCAAATAATCATTTAAAATTGTTAGTCAGTTTCCTTAAATGTTTAATGACAATTATAAATATTTCAAAAATTATAAATAATTGAGCGTATACAAAACATTTTTAATAATTTCGATCCAAAAGTTTAAATTTTGAGTTAAGAATTGGTAATCAGAATGAGACTTCCTAAAGCTCTGATTATTGTTGCCTCATTTGGAGCTTTTAATATTTTTCTTTTCTCTAACGCTTAAAGATTTTTTCTTCTACTGACATAACTTGTACAAGTTCCAATAAAACTCTCGTACTTGAGGAAGGTTGCATTACGCCAGTCTCAAAGGTTCAAAATGGATTCATCATTTTCTTTGATGTTCTCAAAAAGTTGAATCAATAATGGTGAACATTTTCTATGTTGATGATTAACATTAATTTTATCTGAAATTATCTTTGCAATTTTTATTCTAGCTCTTACATAATTTAAGTATTCAAGTAAACATTTTTTGCAATTTTATTCTATTAATTAAAATCTTTTTTTTGTCTCTTTCCCTTTTTTTGAAATTCAGTTCACAATAAAAATAATTCCTACACTCGACCCAATGGGTATTGTCGGGAAATATTGGACGACAAACGCACCATTTTGGTAATAAAAAGTACTAGACAAATTCTTAGAAGAACTAAGTAAATTCTTGGAAAATGCTTATCTTTTATTAGAAAGCAGTAGCAATTTCCGAAGCATCCTCTAGAGGCAGCCGGCAAAAGAACCACGATGAACTTGAATGATTGAACCCCCTGACTCGACCGCACTATATGTTAATTCAACGAACGACAAAAGCGGAATAAACAAAAGAAGAATAAAAAATTTGAGCTCATTGTTTGTAAAGGTGTTTTATAGTGCGAGAGTGCGAGAGACTTTGAGCCTTCATCGATATCTGAGAGCGAGTCACAGTGAGATGGAAAAATTTATCAATGAAGTTTGTTTTCCGTTGAGCGAATTTTCGTAGTTACAGTGAATGCTCACATAAATAAATTAACTCTTTCGGTGACATTCTCATTCTGATAAATAAATTTCTATCCCCAATACCGAGAGATTTATGATGTTAACAAAGCCTTGGTAACGCAAAAAATTATGAATAAATGCTTATTGATAATTGAAATTCGATATGATGCGGTTTTGTTCGCAGAATTTCTCAAACGCACCCACATAAAATATCGACAAAAGATTTTTTTTGACAGTTGCATGCAATGTTGAAACCTAATTTTTGTTAGAAGAAGGGAAGATTTCTTGTGGGAAAGCCGGAAGGGAAAAAGCGAGACGGAAAAGCGTGGGTGGGAGTGACATCCAAGATTTTATTTGATTTTTTTTTTGCATTAAAGTTCATTCAGAAATTTTCATAGGTTGGCAATGTCGTTAGACTTTGTTAAATTCTGAAGTAGAAATTCTACATGAATAATTTAGCGTTTGATATCAATCTCTTAATAAAAGTGAGTCTATTGATTTAAACTTGAAAGAAATGTTTATGAAATTCTTCTGACATATTAAAATAAATTTCATGACTTCAGAGATTGACATTTTCCAATCGTTAAAAGGTTTCTTATCTAAATTGCATTGATTGAAGTTAAGAGTATCTAGATAATTCTGATCCTTAACTTATCTCAAAGGAGGGAATTAGATTGAGTCAAACCAAATTACGATTTCGATCCCTGAAAATTCACTCAAAATAAAACTTGAAATATTTTCATTGAAGTTATTTATTCAGAGCTTGACGAGGAACATTAAATACATATTTGACAATTTTTCTTATTCAATTAATTCTCCTAATCTTAGTTATACAAATTCTTTTCCATTTTTTAAATTTAATTTACGTTTAAAATATTTACATTTTGAAAAATTAGTTTCATTAGTTAAATCTAGAGATTTGAATTATTCACTTAAAATTTATGAACTTTACTGTTGTTCTGGTGGTGTCTCAGTTGGTTCTGCTTCCTTCGATACTCTCATCGATTCAATCTTGTTAACAATTTTCAAAGCTGGTCCCAGCTTCATGCCCATTGCACTCACTAAATGATTTTCTTTAAGCAACAGCAAAGCTTGTCCATCAATTTCTTGAAGTTTGAAATCTTCAGCATAATCACTGCATCCAGGAAGATTCTTAATGAAATCACAAACTTGTGTGACGCTCCATTTCAACATAACATGCTCTTCAATAGGCGGCAGTTCACCATTTTCTCCATCACTCTTCAATTTGTCATTATTTTGTGATGGTGATTGTGACACTTGATTCTTCTCTTCTCCATTACTGACAGAGGGCGATCCATCAGTAGAAATGCTTTTCCTTGTTCGAGCGCAGTTTATTGAACAAAAACGTTCTTTCTTCAATTTACTTCGTTTTTCAAGTTTCCCGCATTGTTCACATGCAACTTTATCACTTGGCGATTGTGTCACAGTTGATGATGTCACACTTGACGATGAACTCGACTCGCCATTGACTTTAACGATATCATTTCCTTTCCCACTTTCAGCTGCTTGCTTCTTTGTTGGTGGCTCATCATTCTCTTTCTCAGAATATCTTTGACGAGCAACTGGAAATGGTTCGGTCGATTCTTGAATCACATAGCCTTCAATCACATGTGTTAATACATTCGGTTTCACCATCGCCTTCGGTAATTCATTCTTCAACATTGGAGAATTTGATGTGGAAGTATTTACAGATTTCTTCCCTTCGCTTTCACCATTTTGTGCAGCAAGTGGCGAATTTACTGTTGAAGTTTTCGATGTTGAGATTGGCGTTGTTGGTGCGGATGATGTTTTAACAACTGGGGATGACATTCCAGTTGAAGTTGTTGTGACACTTGTTGTTGATTCATCAGGCTTTTTCAATTCTTCTGTGCATGCTTTCTTAGCATCATTTTGCTTTGTATCTTCAGCTGATCGTTTCATAGGTGACAAAGTAACGCTCATCGTTCCTTGCGGTGTTTTTCGATTCTCAACACTTGTCGTTTCAGAAGATTTCTCTTTCTGTGTTCCACTTCCTGACATTGGCGAAGCTGACAATGTTGTCATAGCTATAAGTGGATTTTGTGGCGGTTGAAGTGGTGTTTGTGGTGATGTTAAAGGCCCAAGGATGGAATTCGATGTATCAGCTGTTAAAGTTCCAGCAACTGACGTGACAATTTGAGAATTTGCTAATGAGGATGGAACTGATGCACTTTGCGACGTCACTGGCTGCATTTGCATGACTTGTTGTGTTCCAGGTTTGGTCATAATTCCTTGTTGCTGTGACAAATGATTTGGCATTGACTGTTGAAGACTAACACCTGAAGTCACCGTCACAGTTGGCAACTGTTGCGGATGCTGTTGAAGCACAACTTGTTGAATATTTCCTGATTGTGCTGCCATAAGTTGTTGAGCATTTTGTGATTGCTGTAGGAATTGTTGTTGCTGCTGTTGAAGCTGAATTTGTGCGATTTGTTGCTGCACTGCATTTTGTGTCATGTTAGCCATTGCCTAAAAGAATTATATTATTTAGAAGGTTTTTCTTTCAAAATTATTTAAAGATTTTACCTGTTGAAGTATCACTTGTTGCTGTTGTTGAGTCTTAAGCTTGTCATTGTTTGCTAAGATTTGTTGAGCAGCATTTTGTTGAAGAACTGGCGTAAACTGACCATTTATATTACTCATCACAACCATTCTACATTGAAGGAAAAATAGAAAATAGTAATTAGTCAAAAATCAATTTAAATTCTAATTAAAAAGTAATTAATTTATGTTAACTTACTTATTCACACCACCAGGCGTCACCACCTGTTGCATCATTGTCGGTTGTCCAGTTTGTTGGTTTAATGACACTTTTATATTTGGAGCTGCTGGTCGTACTGGAGTTTGTTTCGTTCTTACTTTAGGCGTTTTGGCCATTAAATTTGCATTTTGATTCATTGCTGTTTGTGTAGAGACAGCTGAACTTGCTGGACGAATTTGGGCGCCTTGTGGTAGAATTGTTGGACGTTGTTGTGTTTGTTGGGGTTTTGCTGTTAAACTATCAGATGCTGGACGTACTTTTTGTGTTGATGTTTGTGTAATATTACCAACAAGCGAAATTTCTGTTCAATTCAAATATCTATTACTAATCAAAATAATAAATGAGAATAATTTCAACTTACGATTGTGGGGAGATTGAACAGTTTGTTGAGCTGTTTGTGTTGGACTCTGTTGAATAAACATTCCTGGCGTTCCATCAGGGTTCGTACCACGAATGAAAATAGGGTTTGCTGTCAACAATGTTTGTGGTTGAATTCCATTGGTCCAAAATGGCGTCATTCCTTGAAGTTGCCACGGTGAAGCAAATTGCATCGTTTGACCACCAAGCAATTGTGCTGTTGGCATAGTTTGAGATACTTGAACACATTGTTGATTTGTTTGTTGCTGATGATTCGCTGTAGTTCCAGTCAAAGTTTGTTGTTGCTGTGTGGCACCACCTTGAGATACTTTTTGTAAGATTTTTTGACCACTCATTTGTTTTTGATTGTCAGACTTTGTTGGCGTTGATTGTGTTTGCATTGTAGGTAGAATACTTTGCTGATTGTTTTGTTGAGCTTGTGGTGAGCTATTCAACGTTACACCATTCAATGTCAATGGACTAAACACGACAGTTTGAGATTGACTGGATGGAATGGGTGGAAGCGGGTAACCACCAAAACTCGCTTGTGCGCTACTTGTCAACACTGGTTTTCCACTAGCTGTCAACATCTGTGGCGTAAGCTGATTACCGAATGGCTTACTAGCTGCAATCAATTGAATTTGTTGCTGTTGACCCAATCCGAAGTTTCCAGACATCACCAACTGTGGACTATACATTTGAGGCAAATATTGTGTATTTTGCAATGGTTGTTGAAGAACTTGAACTCTTCCATGTTGCCATTCAGCAGGAACTTGACCAGCTTGAACTGCTTGTTGAAGTGCATTTTGAGAATTCTGATGTGGACTTTGCGGTGACTCTTGAACAATTTGCATTTGTTGCATTTGATTCTGATGATGATCTTGTAAGCTTTTCAAATCAGCTGCCGATATTCCTTGTTGTTGCTGCTGCTGCTGCTGCTGTTGTGCTGAAGCATATTCTTGCTTAACATGAATTGTTGCAGGCTGACCAGCTGCTTGTTGAACGTATGCCTGTTGAATTTGAAACTGTTGTAATTGTTGATACTGTTCAGGTGTAATCTGAAGTGGCATTTGTTGAGCTTGCTGTTGCTGCTGCTGCTGCTGTTGTTGCACTTGCTGAGCTGGGCTTTGTGATTTCTCCATTTCGTACTTTTCGTCAAACGTTATTCCAGCTTTCTGAGCGAGAGTTTCAAGACACTTTAATGGACGTTCGTTTTGCTTGTTCGGTGTCTTCGTGTGACTCTTGTTCGGATCAAGATTTTCTACTTTAGGACTTGGCGATTGTTCTTGCTTTACTTTGATTGAATCTTTACTCTGTTCGATTGCTTTCTTCTTATTATTTTCTTCTTTTTGGATGTTGTTATAATGTTCTGACCTGTAATTGGAACGGAAATTGAAGGAAATTAGAAACAATCGATAATTTAATTACAAAATGCTTTAAGGACGTTTTCATCGTCAAGATTGTTATTTTATATTCAGTAACACAACGAAGAATATTACAAAGAATTCGTCCATTAATTTTCTGTAATTCTTTTATTTATTCACCAGAGATCTCTCATTTTTCTGACGTTACATTACAGGAAGCATGAAGGGTGAAACTTCTTTTACATTTCCTCTTTAAAACATGCAAAGTTCACCATTTTTAGATACAATGCAAATTTATTCTAGATTTATAATGAGAGTAAGGGGAGGCGATGTAGATGAGAGAAAAGAAGAAAACATGCTAAAGACAATAACAGTGCGGGCTGAATGGCTGCGATATATTTTAGAGAATTTTCAACCCTTTTATTCCCTCATGGGGTAGAAATTTGTTTGCACTGTTAAGGACATTAAGTGTCGTTCGTGTGCGTTCCCTTTATTCGAAATATTTCATAAAACGTTTATGGTATCTGAACCCTTCTTTTTTGGCAACGCTTTTCTCTGAATGAGTATCAAAGCGAATACACACATAATCTTCGATTCCCTTGAGATCACTGAGTTATGTATGGTGGGCTTTTAATGCTTATTCGCATGTTAATCTTACATTTAATGTGAAATTCTAAGAAGTCTCTAAGTAATGATTAGAAGATACTTCAACGTTTTGCGTTTCTACAGGTGATATCAGCAAGATAAGTCTTTAAACAAAATAAACGAGGAAAATAATCATCAAAAAAGAACATTAATAAGACTTTGAATTTCAACTTCAGCGAACTTCTTCAGCGAAACAGTGCACAAAGCAAGCCTGAAGAACATGCAAGGCAAAAGAAGATATTGCAAAATATATGAAACAAAGTAAAAGAACAGCAACATGAATAAGCGAAACACATGATGATGAAGTGAATTTGTCGGCTAAAGAGTGAAAAAATTGCACACACTTACACTATTATAAACCTTCACTTTTTATGATTGTGTTAGATTCACAAACATTTACTGACCGCGACAAAATTTTCTTGTTTTGCAACATTCGTTTAAGCGTTTTATTCGTAGCGGTTCATTCCAAACATTTTCTTTCATATCACGACAACTCTTAGGATTTTCATCATAAGAAGAAAACCGGTTTTGTCGAATGTACGAGTTAGGCAACGAGTAAGAAGAGAGAATTCTTTTGCCATAGAGGAGAAGTCGATAAAACGATAATGAACGAAAGACGAAAACGAACAGAAAGAAAAACAAAAAGAAAGTAAAATTATAATAAAATTAAATACCTTTTTGTAAAAAAGCCTCGTGGACGTTCCATGGCTTTTAATAAATGACATACAAAAAATAATTAACTGACTTTCAACATAAAATGCATTGACTTATAATCTCTGAGAATGTGTTAGTTCTTCAAGTGAATGCAAAAATTTGCAAATTTTAAACAACAAATCAAATCAAATGAATCTTCACAAAACTTAAAAATAAATTTTGCACTTTTCTAGATTTTATATTTATATACACACTGATTGTATTTTTTCTTAATTTTCCTTAACTACCCGAATAATCTCTCTCATCTCAAAGCGAACGAATGTGCACAAAAACCTAAAGACGACTGAATGTGTCGTTTCATCGCCGTTTTTGTTTCACTTCATCATTGAAAAGGCAAAAATTCCCAACACACATCAACACATAAGTGAGAAAAATGAGGGATATGAAGAGAAGGAAAATAAAAGCCAACAAACGGCTCCCTTATACATTCATCGAAGTTTCACTTTGAAAACCAGCATTCATTCGAAACGTCAGGCAACGAATGGTGGGGGGGAACAGACGAGATCGAGTTCAGACTAGGGAAAAAAGAATTTCAACGCCATTATTATATTTTTCATGAAGAAAAAATATTTTTTTTCTTTTAGTGTCGGTTGTTCATGAATGTTGTGTTTCTATCTCGTTCATTCATACACCATCAACCTTATCGTTCTATCTCATTCAATTCCATAGAATTTATTATCACTTGTTTGCCATCTGGCGCAGGCCCTGTTTTCAGAACGAAAGTAACAAAAGGGAATAGAAGGGACGAGAATTAAAGAAAGAAAAAGAAGAAAATCCATTAATTTTGTATTTTCATTTTACTTTAAAGCCAGCGGGTTCGTATTACGTGAATCGTTCAAATGGAATACGAACCGAACGGTTCGTTCATCGTCGCCCTCTTCAATATTTCATTTTTCATTTTATTTTGTATTTTGTTATTTCCCTTTTTGTTTGTTGCTTCATACTCTTCGGGGCAAGCAAAGGCAAAATTATTTATTGCTACGACGACCGAGAAAATGTTTTCTCATTTATTTTATGATTTTTTTTTGAATTTTTGTTTTTTCTTTCCCTTCTCATAATCGACGTTCTTTCTCGCTTGCGCTCTTGTTCCTAAATTATAAACAGGCAAGATCGTCTGTCACGTTCTGGCGCACATTTAGTTGCGCAGCACAAGAAAAAAAATAATTTTCTCTTCGCTTCGGGTTTGTTGGACGAAATGATGCTTTTGAAATTAAAAAGAAAGAAAGAAAAAAATAAACTTCATGTTTTTCGTTTCTTGGCATTCGTTTCAGTTCTTTTATCACGTAAAAAAAATATGTTGAAATTTATTAACATAAAGACACGAACACGAATGAAATAATGGAGAAAAAAAACTTTTCTTTTAATGCCATATCAAAACGATCATTAAATGGAAAGGGACGTTGTATAGAGATCGGTCGTGTATTTGTGTGTAGGTGACGAGATTTATTGTTTTCGCTTGAATCACATCCTGAAATAATTTATTGATGTGCTTAAGAATTCTCACATCATCTTCTCATCGTTCTTCAATAAGAAACATTTCTGCAGTTTCATCTCACACTTCCTTAAAAAAAACTACCTCATGATTGAATTACCATTTTTTGTATTTCCCTCGCCAACCATCAATGCAGACGAATGAAATGGGATTGTAATAATAATGCAACATAACATATAATTTTCTCATCTCTTCAAAAAGATCCTTCACCTCATCATTCACTTTAACGACTATGTTTGATTGTTTCGCCATCCACAATCGGAAAAAATTCCCAGTTGTGCAATTATATTATCTCCCCTCGCAGTTATCAGCATCGATGCAGCTAATCAATATCCTGAAATTCTGCTGAAGGGAGCGAAGGGAAACTTTACATTCAAATTCATGTTGATATATTGAACATTCTTCAGCCCCATCCGTAAACCCATTCCCACCAACACTACGAAACAAGTTACGAAAAAAGTTTTTTCAACCGAGACGAAGCAAGAAGAAAGAAATAAAATTCAATCCCGCCTATAGTCGTTTTCTATGTCATTAGTGTCAGTAGATGAATGTGAACCATTATCATAGAATTCTAGTTGAACCCAACCTACTATAGACGCACTAACACTTCCTTAGCAGACGAATGACAATGTGTTAGAAAACTCACATTCGAAGAACTTTATCTTATCATCCCAAGCGGAGTCAAGAGACACAATAAGCAAAGCAAGATTAATTAAAGTGGAAAATAAAAATATCCATTCAAATAGCCACTACCTCAAGCTTTTAATTGAGTATTTATATCACATCTTTGTGGGAGAGTTTGAGCAAAAAAAAATAAGAAAATAAAACATTTGAAAGTTTTTAGATCGTTCGTGTGCGAGGTAATGAAAAATTCAATAAATTTACGAACTTTATGTTCCATTGTGGCAAGCGTATCTCAACGTTGGTGCGTGTATAATTTTTTTTATGTGTTTACATCACACAGAATTGAATGAAATCTTAGCATGATCGTTAACATTTGGTTTTTTTCTTTAATAATGAGCAAGCGAGACGAATCAAAAAGTTTGTTTTAATTTATGTGATCTAAGGTGAGATCGTATGAAAAATCAAACAAGGCCAGACATTAACACAGACTGATATATTAGAAGTGCAAACAAACAAAAGGAATCACTCTAATTCTCATAGAAACTTTCTCAAGATGTTTCAGTTCTTCCCGTCGCTTTCTCCTGACAACGTTGCAAAGTAAATCTGGCAACATTGCACTTTAAAATTGAATTCGTTTTTATTGTTAACTTCTGAATTCCAATGCAAAGAAACAGCCACCAACAGTAGCAAAAGTGCATGGAACAGATTTCATTTCATTTGAAATATGCATCAACAGCATAAAACTTTGCAAACCAACTCGAATAAAAACACAAACAGAAGCGATGAAATCTTTAATGCTGCTGCTTTAAAAACTCATTATGTTGCGCACTAACACAATCTCACTGACTGTCTCATATTTTCATGTTTTTTCTTCCTCTCCACACTAAATTTATGTTGCATGCTAATTAAATGTTATTCATTTACCACAGGTTATATTAAGAAACTAAAAGCCAATAACATAATCGGCAATTACCAAAATTCATTACCGTAATAAATGCACATTTTAAGTAAGAAAAAATAATTTTAAATTATTATATCGAAGACAGTCGCCACACTACTACTCTCATGCAATTATTTTTAGACTTGGATATGTTGGGTAATTTTTTTCTGTCTCATAAATGTTTAAATTCGCCACTTTTTTATGAAATGTAACAAGGAAAACATATCTTTTAAGTCATTGTTTTTTATCAAACTTACGTATTTCTTTTCTTATCACAATTCCATGAAAGAGCTACTCAAGAAGCTCATTTTTCAACAATTAAATTTCCATAGCGCTACTAAATTTTTTTTCATTTCTTCTCCACACTCTCACACTTTTCTGTTTTATACTTTATTGTACTGAAGTAATTTCCAACTCACACTCGCACAAAATGTGCCGCATATAAACGATGTGTAAATGCAAGCACAAAAGAAATGAAGAGAATAATAAAAACCTTTTGGCTTCTTTTTCTTCAACGAAAAAACTGCTTTACAACTTCAGTGTCAGACACAGATAGCGGCAGAGCGATGACTGAAAGGGGAACTGCTTTTTCTCTGTTTCCTCGAGTTGTTTCTGTTGAATATAGTTTTCTCTTTCTTCTGTTTGACTTGCGTATAAAGCAATTTAAAACTTTCCTCGTATTGGTCGAATATTTTCATCGAATCATGATATGTGAAGGGGAACTGGAAATTGAGGAGAAAAGAAGAAGGAAACAACAATACACTTAACGCTTTGGGTGGCAACGAAATGTTATGTAGATTGATTTATAGTGGATTCGTTTGACTTGCGCAACTTATGATGGATATTGCTATTCATCGTTGTGTGTGTGACGTTTTGTTTTGTTATTTTGTCTTCTTCTTTTTGTTTTTACATATTTTCTATACGGAAAGCGATAAAAATTTATTTGAAGAGTAATTTCAACGACTCTTCTTGACAAGCGACCACTCACCAATAATCTTGGATGAATGTGTAATTGTTAGTCATTTCATAGGCTTGTATTAATAAATTTGCTTGAAAGATGTAAAATATTTAATTGTTGCTTGCGATTTATGTGTAGCATATGTGAGAGTTGCGTGATGGACGACTGTTAATGGATTTATAATTAGCACCTGCGTCGTTTGTGTAGATATTTGAAATTGCTTTTTTTTTACAAAAACCCTGGGAAGGAATGCTGAGAACAAATATCTAATGAGGGGAAAAATAAATTACATTCATTGAACGATTTCAAATACAACATTAAATGACGCATGAAATAATAGAGAAGACAAATTAAAATGACGGTAGTTTTCAAATATGAAGTCATTTTTCATGAAGCTTATCTAAGATTTAATTTCTATAAAACATCTCATTGTAATTATGAATATTACAAATGATCGCTATTCAAGCAACAAAAAATTAGGAAAGCCAAAATATTTATTTTTAAATCAGAAAAAACGCTTTGAGACATAAGGAAAAATCTACAATTTTTTTTTGCCAACGAGCAATAAAACAAAAAACCCTCCGCGACGATGTTCTATATTCAACTTGTCTGGCTTTGCATAAAAAAGATCGATGATCTCAAAAAATTGGCGCTATTTGATTAATCATCATTTTAAAATTGGGAACTTTCAATATGATTCCAAAAATGTAATGTCAACATTTTAAAAGAATTAATGCACGATGTTCATATTTAAACAATCTTCATTTTGCTTTGTTTTCTCCTCTCTTTCTTAAGTCTTCTATAACAAAAGTCTATTGAAGCGTCCTTGAGTTTAGAATAAAACTAATCTCATGCTGTTATCTTCTTCATGTTTTTTCTGTTCCCTTCTTCGTTTGATTTTAAGAGAAAAAAATATCTAAATGGGTTCTATGATTGTTTCTCTTTCAATATTTTTCAATGTTCCGGCATGTTTTTTTGTGTCACTTTATTGTCAGATGTCTTTGTACTTTTAATTACTTTTCCTTATGGTTTCAGGCAAAATGTCTTTGTATTGTCGAAATTTCTCAAATTTAATTGCTAAACGTTGCTTTGCGTCGTCATCGAAGATTCCAGATCTTACAAAGGTTTGTCACTGACGATGTTCTTATCATAATATTTAATTTATTATTTGTCGTCTTACTAAGGATCGATATCCCATTCAACGTGGACAATATGCTGAACTATCTGACAAAGATTACGCACAATTTGAGTCAATTTTAGATAAGAATCGCGTTTTAACAGGTTCTGATACTCAAGGCCACAACATTGATTGGTTGAGAAGTGTTCGAGGATATTCCAATGTTGTGTTAAAGCCAAAGACAACAGAAGAAGTTTCTGAGATTTTAAAATATTGCAACTCTCGGAAACTTGCTGTATGTCCGCAGGGTGGAAACACGGGATTGGTTGGTTTGCCACTTAATTTAAATATTTCTTAAAGATATCTTATTGGAAGTTTTAACAGGTTGGCGGATCAGTTCCAGTTTTCGATGAAGTCGTGATTTCATTAAATTCTATGAACAAAATTGAATACATTGATGAATATTCTGGCATTGTGACATGTCAGGCTGGCGCTATTTTGGAAAATTTAGAATCGAAAGTACAAGAAAAAGGACTTTGTGTTCCTTTAGATTTGGGTGCCAAAGGAAGTTGTCACATTGGTGGAAACGTTTCAACAAATGCTGGTGGTTTGAGATTGATTCGTTACGGAAATCTTCATGGATCTGTGACGGGAGTTGAAGCGGTTACAGCTACTGGTCAGATAATGAATTTGATGTCAAATTTCAAAAAAGATAACACGGGATATCATCTTAAACATTTATTCATTGGATCTGAAGGATCATTGGGAATTATTACACGTCTTTCTATTCAATGTCCAACAGCATCGAAAGCTGTTAATGTTAGTTTCTTGGGATTGAATTCTTATGATGACGTTATGAACACGTTTTTGATGGCGAAGAAGGAATTGGGAGAAATTTTATCATCAGTTGAAATGATCGATGAAGTGTCGCTAAACTGCAGTAACAAAGTTTTCAACGGACAGTAATTTTAAATTTCTTTTTTCTTAAATCAATTCAGTGATTAATTTTATGATTTTATCACATCAGATCACCAATTGATGTTTTTCCATTCTACATGTTGATTGAAACTTCAGGAAGTAATCAAGCACATGATGAAGAGAAATTGAATGAGTTTCTTCGGAAGGCAATGGAAAGTTCTTTAGTTATTGATGGCGTGACAACAAATGAACCTGGAAAAATGCGAAACATTTGGTTGATGCGTGAAAGAATTGCTGACAGTTTAATTAATATTGAAGGATATTGTTTCAAATATGATATTTCGCTTCCGTTGACACATTTTTATGAAATCGTGCCTGCAACAAAAGAACGTGTTGGAGATTTAGCGAGTTTTGTTTGTGGATACGGGCATATTGGTGAGAGAAATAATTCATCATAGCTGATATTTTATTTATTTTTTGATAGGTGATTCCAATCTTCATTTAAATGTTGCTTGCAAAAACTTCAACCAGGAAATTTATAAAGCAATTGAACCTTTTGTGTTTGAGTACACAAGCAAATTGAAAGGAAGCATTTCAGCTGAACATGGGATTGGATTTCATAAGACTAAATATCTGAAATATTCTAAAACACCCGAAGCAATTGCGTTTATGAAACAAATCAAGGAACTTATGGATCCAAATGGAATTTTAAATCCATACAAAGTTTTGCCTTTGTAACAATGTTTATAGTTTTTTTTAATTGATTTATTGTATCATTGATAAGAGCTTAAACATTAAATTTTACATTTATCATCTATAAAAATTAGTTTTTGAAACTAAATGTATTTAATCACTGAGAAAATAAATGCAGAGCGACTATTTTTCTATGATAAGCTTATCGGCTTGATATAAATTTCCAATGGCAACCTAAGAAAAGAGATAATATTAAGTATATAAGAAAGTATTGACGGAAATCATGAAATTTACTTGTCTTCGTATTGCTTCCAAATTTTCCTTAGCTTCATTAATACAGGTTTTGATAGCTGCCTCATCTGATAAACTTTTATGCTCCTTAAATGTATCCCTGGTTTTTCTTAAAGCATATTCTCTAGAATTTTACAATGATTATTAAACTTATTGCGGTAATTGTAAAATTTCAACAAATCAAACCTAAAATTGTAAGCTGGAAATTTTGATCCCTCTCGTAGCAGCTTTTTGTACAATGACAGGACAGTTGAACGTGTTGCCGATGAAGATGACATTTCACCAAAGTGATTTAATGTAATGTAATAATAACTTAAACTATAATTTATAAGATAATTGCAAAAATATTCTCGGAAGGAAATGTTTATGTAAATAATCCCCTTGGAAACTACGACAAATTTAACTTCTCCACATCTTTCGCATAAATATTCAAATAATAAACGACCAGTAAAATTTTTAAACTTTATTCTGTAAAATTTTAATTCAAAACGTACAAAAATAGGTGTAAGAAAACACGGAATGCCAAATGATGATTTTTAAGCAGAAATTAATTGAAAATCTCTAAGCATTGTAAGATGAAGCACTGATATTTCCTCCTTTTCCAGTCCAGTTGGTGTGAACAAATTTTCCTTCTTCTCCCAACAATTCATAAGTGTGAGCACCAAAGTAATCACGTTGAGCTTGGAGAAGATTCGCTGGAAGTCTCTCTGAACGATATCCATCAAAGAAAGAAAGAGCAGCTGATAAGCAAGGTACAGGAATTCCCCAAAGAGTCGCTTTAGAGACAACTTGTCTCCATGAATTCTGATTTGCAGTAATTGCAGCTTTGAAGAAATCATCCAGCAACAAATTGGAAAGTTGAGGATTACGAACAAAAGCTTCCTTAATATTTCCCAAGAACACGCTTCGAATAATACAACCACCACGCCACATCAAGGCAATTCCACCATAATTCAAGTTCCAACCATTCTCCTTGGCAGCTTCACGCATCAACATGAAACCTTGAGCATACGAAACGATTTTAGCACAGTAGAGAGCATTTTTGATGTGGTTGAGAAACTCTGCTTTGTTGTCTACACTTGGCTTTGTATTTGGACCAGAAAGAAGTTTGCTTGCCTTGACACGTTCGGTTTTAAGAGCTGAGAGACATCGTGAGAAAACAGCTTCACCAATAAGTGTCACTGGAACTCCATATTGAAGTGCAGCAATTGCTGTCCACTTGCCAGTTCCCTTCTGACCAGCAGTATCACGAATACGCTCTAATAAATATTTTCCATCCTTGTCCTTATAGTTGAGAATGTCACGAGTTATCTCAATAAGGAATGAGTCAAGTTCTCCTTTATTCCATTCAGTGAAAGCATCAGCCATCTCTTTCTGACTCAATCCCAATGATTTCATGAGATCATAAGCCTCGCAAATCAACTGCATGTCCCCATATTCAATGCCATTATGAACCATTTTAACAAAATGTCCCGAACCACCTTCACCAACCCATTCACAACATGGATCGTTGTCGGATTTTGCACATATTGATTGGAAAATATTTTTGATATGTGGCCATGCATCGGGATTACCACCTGGCATTAATGATGGACCATAACGAGCTCCTTCTTCACCTCCACTCACACCTGATCCAACAAACAGCAATTTATTCTTCTTGCACTCTTCAACACGACGAGCAGTGTCTTGATACTCTGAGTTGCCACCATCGATAATAATGTCACCAGGTGACAACAATGGTGTCAATTGCTTGATGAAATCATCAACAGCACTGCCAGCTAAAACGATAAAAACATTTCACTTTTGTCATTGAATCATTAAATACATTTTAATTTATAGGAACTCATGCACATGTTGAAGGTGATTGAATAACTTTGCTGATACTACACAACGCATTTTTCTTTCAATTTTATATAAGCAAACACATGATGCAGTTTTGTATTCATTTATGTTAGATACAGTTCGAAGGTTTCACCTTCAATGCCATTGACATTTTTTTAACGTTTAAAGGAAAAGTTCGCAGAATCTTTTCTTTCTTTTTGTGTGTCAATAAATAAATAATTTTTATAAACTTTCAAAAAGAAAAAGTTTGAATATTTAATCAAGAACAGGGCGAATGTCACACAAAGTTTCCCATTAACTTCTAAAAAACTTAATGAATGTCATTAAACTCACCTTTGACCAGCAACATAACACGACGCGGTGACTTCAATTTGCTGACCATATCTTCCATTGACGTCGCGCCAATAATCTTCGTTCCTTTTGCTTCATTATCCAAAAAGTGTTTAACCTAATGACGAAAGAGAAGACGTAAGACTTAAGTGGCTGTCTAATATTGTTGAATAATCGAAACAAACAATGGTCAATACAAAAAAAATTGCAAGTAATTTGATGACGCAACATGAAGAAGAAGAAAACTTAATTCGAGACTTGATAAGAAAGTAGAAACATTGTAAGAAACTTTCAAAAATTAAACTTACTTTATCAACAGTACGATTGAATGCACAGACGACGAAACCTTTTGAATCCATGTTCAGGATGAGATTTTGTCCCATCACAGCAAGACCAATCAACGCAATATCGGCTTTTCTATTACACAACTAATCATTATCATTGTTATTTTATAACACTAAATAATTACTTACTGTGCCATGGCTTTGATCATTAATTGTTCGATTTCACAAAAAAAAAGAATTAAAAGGAGAAAATGAATTAAAAAACCTTAAACGATGTTATTCTGTGGAAACCTGTTGTGTCTCTGAGCGTTGAATCGAATGTTTGCTTTCATACAGCTCGCGAACTTTTTTTTTTTAGAAGGTTCGCGTGACGTCATCATCGTAAGAGAGTTTCAAGTTCCATTCAAAATTGTTAACGGTTTTGATATGAACATAAAATTGGCAAGACTGCGACTATTCTGTGAACCATAAATATTGAAATAAATCAAAAGATTCTTTTAACTTTTATTCCATGCACTATTTTACGCACAATTTTTATTTATTTCTCTAGCTCTTGCATTTGTCACAATGAAATTTCTTTATTTTCGTTCTTAAAATTGAAACTTACAAAGATGAGAAACTTTTAATCTATGAAACTTTATTCATGATTTTTTTTAAATTATTTAATGTAATTAATTAATATATTGAAGGGACGAAATGTCTTTGAGTTCATTCAAAACGAAAAAGAAGAATAACTAATAATGTTAGATGCAAAAGGTTCTTTTACCTTTAATTAATCTAAACGCTAAACGATCAAATGGGAAGTAAGTTTTAAAAAGTATTAAAAAATCATAAAGGATATGAAATTAAATTAAAATCGTTTCGCGGCGGCTCATGTTGGCATCAAATTTTAAGTCGTTTGTGAAGTTGCTGTTTCAGCTGCTGGTGTTGCATCCATTGCCTCATCGACTTGAGGAGTATTCGATGCATTTTCTTCTTCAGTTGCAGGAGTTTCTGTGACGTTAGACTCTCCCTTGTTTTCTTCTTCAGTTTGTGATGCTGGTACCGTATCAGTACTTGATGTCTCTTGAGCAGTTTTAGCTGCAGCTGCGGCTTCTTCTGCCTTAGCAGCTTTTGCTGCTTCGCGTTGAGCCTACAAATAAATATTTTTTCTTTAACTATTCTTTCTTTTATTATAAATTTTTCTAATCTTACCTTCTTTTCTGCTTGATATGCCATCTTTGCCTCGTCGTATTTCTTCACAAAAATGTCGCGTTGCTCTTTGAACTTTGCAAATAATTCGTCGTTTTTGCCTTTTCCCTTTAGACTCTCAAGGATGTCTTCTTTCTTCTTATGCTCTTCACGAATTTCGTCTGTGACAAAAGGAGCTTCAAGTGAATAAGGATCTCGTTGACGTTTTTTTGCACGATTTCCAACATTTTTTTTGTTCACATTTTGCTGCATTTTTCTATTTTTCGGTTTATCGACTTTTGTGAGATTGGGATTCTTACGGTTCTGATTACTATTATTTCTCATGTTGTTGTTGAAGGGTTTCTGGAATGATCGTCTCATTGGAGGACGACCACCAGCTCGTATATTCATTGGAGGTGGTGGAATGGGACCCATATTGGGTCCTCCTAACGGGCCACCTCCCATATTCATTTGAGGTCCTCTTCTTCCTTGCATTGGTGGAAAGTTCATTGAAGAATTTGATGGACCATTCCTCATGTTGTTATTACCATTATTTCTATAATTGACCGGAGGCATTCGCTGATTCATTTGAGGTGCTGGAACAGGATTAAACTGTTGGAATTGGTTCTGCTGATTCATCATTTGAGGAGCAGGGACTCTTCGCTGTGGTTGTTGTTGATTATTGTTCCAATTTTTGTTGTTGCCATTCTGAAAATTCATATTTTTCTTTGGACTTCGATTTTGCTGTCCATTCATCTTTCTTTTATTGTTCATGTTATTCATGTTGTTTTGCTGACGCGGCATTTGTTGTTGCTGATCATTAAAGTTATTGCTGAAGTCCATGAAGCCTGAATTATCAAGTTGTTGATTGAAGTTTTGTTGTTGAAAGTTTTTGCGATTCATATTGTTACGCATCATGTTTCCACCCATATTTTTCATCTTTATTTTGTTACCTCCCAACATAACCAATCTTTAAAACGCTTTAAACACTCAAAAATACTTGTGGTTTTTCTATTCTTACACTTATTTGAAGAATTTTTAAATATGAAGCTTTCGAAAATAAAAAAAAATAGTTAAATGACCCGCTTCGAGAATGCTCCATTTCGAAAACGGATTATGCCGACGTGCACCGGATTAATCTGATTCCTTTGTCGTTTGTTGATACTAATAGACTGCATTGGAAATATACATGAATCCAACATATCATATTCGATTAATTATGTTTAACTCAAGCTAAATTAATTAGTTTGAGTAAATTGAAGTCAAATACATATGTGCCGGTGTTAATAAAAAAATTATTAATTTATTGTCGAATTCTCTTTTTTCATGGAGATTTGTTGAGGTAGTCACAATAAAATATTCTTGAAAAAACATGAGAGCATGATGAGAAATTATCATGACCTGCACAACAATACTTGAATATATAAAATTCGTTTAAATTGAAGATAATTAATTTAGTTAATTTTAAGAAATCCTTGTTATATTTCTACACTGCTGTTAAAATTCTATAATTTTATATTGAGAAAATTTCTTATTACCTACCCACTGATACATTAAAAACCCTCGATTAATTATAAATCTTTCTAGAAAATTCACTAGAAAATTTCATAACCACTCTTAAAATTTGGAACAAGTTTAATTATGATTACTTATCTTTTATAAATTCGAAGAAAAAATATCACTTTGAAATAAATCTTGATTACGATAAGTACCTACATAAAATAAAATTACTCGGTCTTACAAATAACTCAACAAAACGAAAAAAAAGAGTTTAATTGAAATATTCAAAAAGTCTCATAAATATCAATTACCTAGCATTCCATCACAAGCTGAAAACAGAATGACATTCAAGAAGTAACGTTTAAGAGCCCGAAAGTGATATGATAAAAGTTTTTTGGAGTCGAACTTCAATTTATACGAAGTGGATTTGATGATAAGAACAACGTCGATTAAAACGTGCTCCGATATTAAGCGCAATAACTTGGCGATTTTCATATCAGTTGCAAAAAACTTTTCCACTAAGTGATGTCGGAGATTCGGCGCCTACCTCATGGAATGCGAGCTCCAACGCAGTTCCACAAATTCGTTACAACAGACAAGGATCAAACTAAACTCGTTGAGTATCGTGTTGAAGAAATTCCTGAAAGTCGTTACGATGAAGCTTGCAGGTTCATGTTGGAATATTTTGTGCCCTACGAGCCGAAAATCATTTCAAAGAACGGACAATGTGATCCAAAAGTTCTTGACGATTATCACACAAAATTTATGAATGGAATCAAGCAAAATGTTTCCGTTGCATGCTTCAAAAGTGGATCTGACAAATTTATTGGAGTAAATATTCTTGAAGTTCTTGGACGTTATAGTGGAACATTCGATTTTGATGTAAGTGAACTTCTTTGTATCAACTTCAATTAAGTAAAATTTTATTTTCTTGCAGCGTAAATCTAAAATATGTCTTGACATTGACAAATCTATTGATTACATTCTCGATAGAGCTGACATTTTCAACCGATTCAATGTTGATCACTATTTAAGTGGCACTGGGCTAGCAATAAATCCAGCTTACTGTGGAAAAGGTAAAAAAGCAATAACATGAATTTATTTATCAATTATTTCCTTTAAAGGCATAGCCACTGAGATGATCAAGGCCAGAATTGCGATTATTAAAGCTTTAGGATTTAAAGTAACGTCAACAGGGTTTGCATCGATTGGTGCACAGAAAGCTGCAATAAAAGCTGGATGTGTGACAGATTATGAGATAAGGTTTGTTAAAATTTGCATTATTTAATGTAATTTTGTTGCATAAGAGAAAATTCTTTATTACAGTTACGAAGAACTTGCAAAAGTTAATCCTGATTGGAATTTTTTGGGAACTGATTCAACAAATTACATGCAAATGAGTCAATCGCTTTGAAGTTTTTCTTCACATCTCCATTAAAATTTTCAATGTGAAAATTCAAAACAAAAACCATTAATTATGGTTCAAGATAGAAGAGATTTAAGTAGAATTTATTTTAAAATATAAAATAAAAAAAGAAGAAATTCCAGCGAAAGGAAGAAGCAATAATCTATAAATATTAAATGCAAAAAAACTGATAAGAAATTGGAACACAGAAGTTGTATAATTAATAATAATTACATTTAAAAGAAATATTTAATTTCCAAATACGTTCAAAGCCAATCTTATCAAATGATGACTTTGATATTTTTATATACAATTGAAAACGAAAATTAAATTTTTGATAATAAAGTCGAGTAAAACTTGATAAAAATAACGAAAAAGTGTTAGTTCTATTTCAGCATACTTTCAGGCTAAACGTGCCGCGTTTTGAAAGATGTACAAGTTTAAACGTCCTGTAAATATTCCATTCCCGATTACTTATCACACCTTCAAGGCGAAGGATAAGAACAGTGACAGTATCGTTGAGTTTCGTGTTCAAGATCTTCCTGAAGAATATTTTGAACAAGCCATAGAATTCATGATCAAATATTTTGTTCCCGATGAAACATTTTGTACCAGCAAAGATGTCATGAACAAACCAAGTACACTTGAACATTTTAAACATTTTTGGCAAAACACTGCAAGTGAGAAACTTTCAATTGGATGTTTCAAAGGAGATGAATTGGTGGGAGCGAATTTCTTTGCTGTTTCTTCTAAAGATGATCTTCAAGATCTTACTCAAGCAAGTTGTTTCCACTATAACTTTTAATTAATCTTGATTTAATTTGTTTTTAATTTTTAGTTTAAAGATGAAGATTTTATTGATATTATGGAACCAATGATATTCTATTCCAAAATGTTTGATGTGTTTTCAAACTATAAAGTTGATGAATATTTGACCGCTTATGGCTTGTGTGTTAATCCCGAATATCGAGGCCGTGGCATTGCTACAGAAATTCTCAAAGCTCGAATTCCATACATGAAAGCTTTAGGTCTAAGAGTGACTTCAACTGCATTTACTGGGATTGGATCTCAAACTGCAGCAAAAAAAGCTGGCTTTAAGGAAACATTTTCCATAACTTACGCTGACATTGAAAAGAAATTTCCAAAGTTTGATTTTTCTAAATGCGAATCAAAATATTTTAAGTACATGGTTTTGACAGAGGAATAAAAGGAAATAAAACAATTACCATTAAATCCTATGTCAAATCTTTTTGATATCATTTATATTATTACAGTTACTGTTATCAGTTATTTTATTATATTTTTCAACATTTGTTATTGGCTTTCATTAAATTAATAAATTTTGATAAGAAAAAAATGCTTCCGAATTAGTAACTCTTAAAGTTACAGATAGTTTCATATTGGGAGTAAGAGATTTGTTTTTTCATATTTTTCCAGTCAACCTTATCATAAAAACGTGAAGTAAACGTTTGATAACGATGTGGATTCAACTTGATGAGAATAATAGAATAATCTCTAGTTCTGTTTCAACATACTTACAAGCTAAACGTGTCGCGACTTGAGAAATGTATAACTTTAAACGTCCTGAAAATATTCCATTTCTGATTACTTATCATACCTTCAAGGCGAAGGATAAGAACAGCGACAGTATCGTTGAGTATCGTGTTCAAGATCTTCCTGAAGAATATTTTGAACAAGCCATAGACTTCATGGCTAAATATTTTATTCCCCATGAAACATTTTGTGTCAGCAAAGATGTCATGAACAAACCCAATACAATTGAACATTTTAGACGTTTATGGAAACACGCTGTAAGTGAGAAGCTTTCAATTGGATGCTTTAAGGGAGATGAATTGGTGGGAGCGAATATCTTTGCTGTTTCTTCTAAGGATGACTCTCGTGATCTTACTCAAGCATGTTATTTCCACTATAACTTTTAATCAATATTAATTAAATTTGTTTGTATTTTTTTAGTTTAAAGATGAAGATTTTCTTGATTTTGTAGGAGCAATGATGTATTATGGCAAAATGTTTGATGTGTTTTCAAACTATAAAGTTGATGAATATTTAACCGCTTATGGCTTGTGTGTTAATCCAGAATATCGAGGCCATGGCATTGCTACAGAAATCCTCAAAGCTCGAATCCCATACATGAAAGCTTTAGATCTAAGAGTGACTTCAACTGCATTCACTGGGATTGGATCTCAAACTGCAGCAAAAAAAGCTGGCTTTAAGGAAAATTTTTCCATAACTTACGAAGACATTGAAAAGAAATTTCCGAAGTTTGATTTTTCTAAATGCGAATCAAAATACCTTAAGATCATGGCTATGACAGTGGAATAAAAGAAAAAAGACTTCTATCATCCCATGACTAGTCTTCTTGTTATCAGTTATTTTATTACTGTGATTCATTCTTTGAAACTTGTCTACTCTACTATTCTCGACGTTTCAATCCATTTTAAGTATAGTTAAATGAAGAAATTTTTTTGAAATTTTTGCATTAATTAAATACGGTGGCCCATCTTGTCCCATACTGAGGATTGGATGATAAAATTTTCATGATTAAATTCTAAATTGAATTTGATTAAATTTTGAAAAATAAATAAATAAAAGAACAAAAGATTATTAATTTTTTTAAAAAATTAATAAATAAAAAATAAATAAATATAATTTAAATATATTACAAAGGTTAAATTA